TGCCTTATCAGAGACCAGGTGAACTAAGAAACACCCTGCTCCAGAGAACCTGCTGGTCACTTGTGTACCCAAGCGGCGTTCCTTCCAGAGCCCCGGCGTTCTTGCAAGCTGTTCATGGTAACCACACATACTCTTTTGTTGCCGTTTTAATATTTTCAGTTTTTCAGTACCCTGGAGGTTGATATTCACAATAACCTTGAGGGGTGAGCAGAGCTATTGTTATTCGCCCTTTTCTTTTTTTTTTTTTTTTACAAAGGAGGAAACAGGCATAGAGTGTTTTCCCCCTGCTGGATTTAGTCACGAGTCTAGGACATAGAACTGGAGTCTCTGGGCCTCTCAGTCCGGAAAACTGTTTTATGGTTTATTTATCATCTACGTGATCTTGGCTCATATATATGTCATGTGGATTTGGAGTGATTTCCTGTAGAAGCATTTTTAAGATAGCAGTGAATTATTTTTAGTGTGTGTAGTATTTGTGATTTTTCAAAAGCACAACTTAGAGGATCTTAATTCAAGCTTTCAGTTTAACTTTGCAAAATAACATGGGCAATGACAGAGTTATATATTTCCTTCCCCATGAGAAAGAATGAAACACCTGAGTGTATGAAGAAACTGGAAATGGTGTGATACATTTTGAGTGAGTGAGTTTTTGGAAGCCTGAAACTCTTAAGTTATGACTACTTTGATGTCAACACTTTAAAAAGTGAACTTTAGAAAGGTCCCCTCCAGAATTTTTAAATTGGCATCTTGGGTGCACCAGTCTGCTGAATAAACAAGATTATAATGAACTCTCTATTTAAAACTGAATTAATGAAGTTCACTGACGTACTTCGACCCCTACTCCCTCCTTCTTGCTTTCTTTGAAGCTGTCCTTTTTGTTATGATGGTGGCTAACATCTTGACTGATTTATTTGCAATTGGTCTTGTGAAAACAGTGGCGCCCAGGTAAAAATGAGCTTTTCTCGGAACTTTTTCCCNCTGGCGGGCCGATCCCCGGGAGGAGGCGCGGGGCGCAGGGGTGCTTCCTGCGGGAGGATGAGGAAGCCTGACGGTAAGATCGTGCTTCTCGGGGACATGAACGTGGGCAAGACGTCCCTGCTGCAGAGGTACATGGAGCGGCGCTTCCCGGACACGGTCAGCACGGTGGGCGGCGCCTTCTACCTGAAGCAGTGGCGCTCCTACAACATCTCCATCTGGGACACCGCAGGTGAGGGCCGGCGCCGCAGGGGACAGGGGCGGCGGGGGAACTCACGTGGCTTCCAGCCCTAGAGGAGCGTTCCCCAGGGCAGGCGTCTCCAAGGGCAGGCGTCCCCAAGGGCGGGCGTCCGTCAAGGCAGGTGTCCTACAGGACGAGTGTCCCACAGGACAAGCGTCCCCGAGCGCACAGGGTCCTGATCTCGGATAGGAGATGCACCTTCTCGGGGCTGCGGCCACCCTTGGCCCCTCTCTGTTCCCACTTGTCCTCTCTAGCTGGCTGGGGAAACTCTTCCTGTTCAGCCACTCTGCCTTATCAGAGACCAGGTGAACTAAGAAACACCCTGCTCCAGAGAACCTGCTGGTCACT